GGCTTCGCGAAATATACCATTATTATTATTATTATTAGTTCGGTTTGTGAAAAAGTGATGTCTGATGTTCAATCGAGCTTTTTGCTTTTTCAGTTTCAGCTCGTGACTCCTCAAGCCATCCCCATTAGCAGGGTGGAAAATCTCTTGGGGAATGATATTACTGAAACCCTTCATACATTTTAAGGTCTCTATGAGGTCCCCCTCAATCGTCTCCTCTTAATGGAAAACAGAGTTATGGAGGCTAGTCGTTCTTTATAGGGCTTGTAGGACTGGTATGACGAAGCCTCAACGACGGTTGTATTGGAATGAGCTGAAGAAGAGAGGGAGAAGCGCACAGGTACTTAAGCGTGCAGAAAGTGAAAGTCAACGTACCGTGACCAACGAGCTCCGGAAGATAGAAAAGATACATGAGCGCAAAGGGTTGACACCGCAGCTACAGGACTATTAACAAATAAGTGTCTCCTGTACGCGGATGATGTCAAGATCTGGCCCAGTATCAGAGAAGAGGAGGACAGAGTAATCCTCCAATGCAACCTGGATGCAATCGGACGATGGGGAATCGAAAATGGTCTTCGCTTGAACCAGTCAAAATGCCATGTAGTACATGTCAGGGGAGAAACCGACAGCAGATGCTACCTCAACTCGGTGCCACTGATGGTAGTTAAACAGGAAACAGATCTCGGGTCGGTTCTGTTGGATCATCCAAACTTCTCACTAATCTGCTTTAGGCTAGTGAAACGAGGCAGCCTATTGCAGGACCTTATAACTCGGAACCTGGCAAGGCTGGGGCCGGAGTGCTTCGGAGTGTTATACGGAATCTACGTAAGACCCCACCTTGAAAATAATATTCAAACGTGCCACCCTAACCTTAGTAGGAGACATTAAAGCACTGGAAGCGGTTCAGAGAAGAGCCACTAAACGATTCCTCAGGCTATCTCAACTGAGCTACGAAGATAGACTTAAGAGACTCAACCTCTTCACACTTTCCCACAGGAGGTAGAGAGGGGACGTGATATTGATACACAAAATAGCATCAACGCAGAAACACCCAAACAGCGAACTAATAGCACTATCGTCGCACCGTCAACTGCGAGGACACTCTAAGACCATCTTGCACCAGCAGAGTAGTACTAACACCAGACGGTTACATTTCTTCATCCGGGCCACAGCCGCTTGGAACTCATTACCCGAGGTAGTGGTCTCTGCGCCTACCACAGCGTATTTCCAGCAGAGACTAAATGAATTCGCCGTGGGCCTCACCTCGGCGGTGGACAGCAACCTTGAGTACCCTAGAAGCAATGTTAGGTGGACCTCTGGACCGTCCATGCAGTACACCTCGTAACGCGTGTAAACCGGTCCAGCTAACTGACTACAAGTAACTAATCTGCAACATCATCAAAAGTAAACTAGCAACCTTTTTGCTTACATTTTCAGACTACAACAATTAACGAATCCAAAACAGAAAGTTTGGAACATCAGATCAAGAAACAGGCAACACTACAAGCCGACGAGCTTTCTCCGCCTGTAAACTGGACATTGGATAGTGGACTGACGGATTGTAGTTCGGACTGGTAGATAAGGGGACAGAAAGGCAACATACCGACCACCACCATCCTCCTAAACCGGGTCTAGGCTGAGCTCTGGATGGATTGCAAATAGTGCATTTTGCGTTGGGAACCTGATAAGGCCAGCGATGCTACCGTGCTGTAGATAGAATCAGATGGCTTGGTAGCCAAAAGAGCACCTGAGGGATATCACCACTGTATGAAAAATGCCCCGGCAACCTGGATATCATCGGTTCATGATCAGATCTGAACATGTGTGCTGAAAGGTGAACACAGGAGACGCGGAGTCACAGATGAATGAAAGAGCACTCGGGCAACTCGGACGATAGACCATTTTTTGCGCCAATCTACTGAAACGAGGACCCTTCGAAATACTTTCACCAACCATGTCTTCTTCCCTACCATCCTCAGTGCTTATTCTTATATCTTCTGCACAGGCTTCTCTAGCATCCTACCGGGTATATACGAATCCCCGCATAATTAGGAAACTGGCTAGGGTACAGCATTGCCTCATTTCAATAACCGCTCAGCTAGGTGCATAATTAGACTTCAGGTATTCCTTTTTTCTTTTTCTGCAAGTATTCCTCTTTAGCATTAAACTGTATCAGCTGCAGAAGTAGCACCCGAACCGGAAAGTTACCCGAGTCGTCACCGAGGGGCACAAAAATCGGCTCGCAAAGGATCCTCTATTGTCGAAGCACACGTATGCAAACGATACGCTAACGGGGCAAGAACTTGGACCCGAATTGGCATCAGCCGCAAGGTCTGTGGCCTGACCTGACCAAACCAGACTGACTGATTGACCAGTGTCCTTCGAGAGGATGCAAAGAAATAATAGGGGACACATGTACCAGCTGAAGAAAGGGCGCAAGAGACCAGCGGTGCGTTCAAACTTCTTCAGCAACAGGGTAGTCAACTCATGGAATAAGTTACCACAGGATCTGGCGGAGCTGGGGAGCGTACAATCTTTCAAGAAGGAGCTCGATAAGCGCTAGTTGAACATATTTCTCGAAGTAGATGCTTAAGTTAAAGTTTGGACAGTGGTAGGTTCTTTTTCAGTTACTAACCACCCCAACAGGGGAAAGGGTACCAAATATGAAGTCTTTGACCTGAACAAGGTGAGAAGATATTCTTTTTTTCCTTTATCTTCCCTTGCAGAGGCAGAGACGACTGGGACTAGAAGAAAACCTGAAGAACTAAAATATAAAACACTCGCAGTGGTAAGGGCCAAGACGTAGCTTACTACCGAAGGAACTCTGGGTGCTAGATTGGCTGTGGCCATTTCCTATGCTGTGCGTTTCTGCCTTTAAGAAAAATTGCATATCAAAGTGTTGGAAGCCAAGGNGACTTGCCGACAACACACAAATATGTACACTCGATTGGCAAGAGCCACAGTTCGTCCTGTCACAATTGAACTGAACTGAAATGAGCAGTGCAAAGTGACTGCCTCACAAATCTCCCAGCCTTCCTGGATGTCGTAACCGAGCGGCTGGACAGAGAGACGAG